CGGGACCAGGCGGGATGCTGCGGCCGGGAGCGCACGCCCGGGACCTGTCCCGGCCCGGAGAAGTCCACACGGGGGTGAGGCTTTGGGTCTGGCGTTGGCAGAGGAGTGGAGGAGGCGGCTGGCCGGGAACGCAGACACACAAGCTGAGTGGGCCAGATGCCGGTGCCTGCGCCCCGCGGTGAACTTGGGTGTCCGGTGCGGACTGGGAGACCCAGGACACGAGCGAGTTCTTGGCTCCCAGATGGAAGCGTCCAGGGAAGCCGGTCTGCAGCGCTTTCGCTTTCACTCTAATCTGGACGGCAGTGGGGGCTGGTTAAACCTGGAGAGGGCAAGGGGACCCCGCAAAGAGAGCAGAGGGAGCCCTGGGGAGGGGGACACAGCCACCGGCAGAGAAGCAACCGCTCATCACTCAGCCGTGCGCAATAGTGGGCTGGGCTGACTCCGCGCTGCGGTCCCGGGGCAGCCGGGGGCTCGCTTGGCCCGGGCGCGCCAGGCAAAGAGAGCAGAAGGAGCCCTGGGGAGGGGGACACAGCCACCGGCAGAGAAGCAAACGATCATCACTCAGCCCTGCGCAATAGTGGGCTGGGCTGACTCCGCGCTGCTGTCCCGGGGCAGCCGGGGGCTCGCTTGGCCCGGGCGCGCCCTTCGCCCTTCCCTCCCGGACCGCTGGTGCGCAGACGGAAGCCCCAAAGCCCCGCTCTTGGCTGGGGCGGGTTAGTGGTTAAGCGATGGCCTCTAGGACTGCTGGGGCCTAGTTCCCTGGCCCTTTATTCACGTTAATCACGGTGTGTGGAAAGCCCTCTCAGGGCCGGAGCCCCGGGGGCAGAGGAAGGTGTTCAGGGTGGGGAGGCAGCAGCGAATCCACTGATAAGCTGGAAAATCTCCCCTTCCTGCCAGTTGAAAAGTGGAAGGTAGATGTGGAAGTGAAAACCAGTCGTAAGATTTAGGCCTGGGTTCTAAGTCATTTCTTGTTTGTGTCTCCGTTTCCTCAAATGATCCGAGGAACTTTAAGGCCTTCCTCTAAACAGGAGTGGAAAGAGTGTGGCGTTATCCTCCTCCCTCCCGCTTAAATCTTTTCGTGGCCTGAGAAGGTCGGCCCAGACTCTGCAGTCAGATCCTCTCCTGGTACAGTTCTCTTCCCCTGCCTGCTGCGATGTGTTTACCACTTGACCAGAACTCCTTAAGAAGGGTGTCTCTGAACCTGGTGTGGTTCTGAACCGGGTGTGGTGGCGCACGCCTGTAATCCCAGCACTTGGGAGGCTGAGGCAGGAGGATCACTGAGTTCAAGACCAGCCTGGGCTACATGGTGAGATCCAGGTCTGTCTCAACTACATAGTGAGACCCTGTTTCAAAAAACCAAAAAAATAATAAAAGAAGGACGTCTCTCTCTTAATCACCTGTTCCCTGCCTTGACCCCTGTCCATGCCAACCACTGACCTCCTTGACAATCAGCAGTGCTCTGTGTATTTTAAGAGCTCCCTTCCACATAAGCAGGGGTCGAGGTAGAGGATTCTGGCCCAAAAAGAGACCTGATCTTGTCTCCCAAGTTCTCAAGAACTTGTGCTGGGTCAGGTCTGTTTCGTGTGAGCACACACAACCAGTGTATGTGGTGGAGACCAACCGTGCCCCCACTTTAAAGTGGAAAGGGTTCCACTTGGGGAAGTTGGGGTTTAGAATACAGCCCTTTCTGTGTTGGATCACAGCCAGGCTGTGACATTCCCCTGCAGCGGGGTCAAACGATAAAATGGAAAGATATAAGGGGGAAACTGTCTCTGGGGTCAGCTCCATCTGAATTACTGTGTGACCCCCGAGCCAGTCACCTGAGCTCTCTGAGAATGTTTCCTCTTCTGGAACACGCAGGGTCGAGGCTTTTCCTGCCCTGGTATTCCGTATTCCATACTCTGTCTCTGCAGACAACCATCATGGCGGTGGAGTTTGACGGAGGTGTCGTGGTGGGTTCGGACTCCCGGGTGTCTGCGGGGTGAGTACCAGCCGTGCTGTGTGCATCGGGGAGGATGCGGACAGCCCCAGCACACACTCTTCTCACCCATCGTGAAAGCTCTGTTAGACTGGAGCTTTCAGAAATGGAGCTGACCCTCCAGAGAAGCGAGTACAGCGTGATGTTGGTGTCTGAGTTTGTGCGGGAGGACTGGGGTCTGAATGCTGTGTACCCCAACCCTGTGGTGAGCAGGGTGGGGTGTAAGAAACGGGTCTGGAAGAGGTGGGAGATTGGGTTTTGCTTCTATCTGCTTGGGGATTTTTAAAAAAAAAAAATAGGGCCGGGGATTTTGCTCAGTGGTTCCACCGCCTGCCTTACAAGCACAAGAACCCACGTTTGATCCCCGGTACCAAAAAATAAATAAATAAAAATAAAAAATATTTCTGTCAAGCAGATAGCTTGCTTCTCACCATCACATTTTGGACTAATTTTGTCTCTTCTCTCCTAGCCAGGTTTCTCATGTATAAAAATACTATATGGGATTAGTTCAATATTACTCTGTGTTCCATAGCATATAACATAATTCACAGTGATTAATGGCAAAGCAGGTCTGATAAGATGCACATTTCTCTTAACTCGGTACTTTTTGTTTTGTTATAAAGTCTAAGCCTGAAAAAGTCTAGGTGAAAAGTCTGCAGTGATTGGTACAGTGATTCCTTTGTCTGAGATGGTGCGTTTTCTTTCTGGCTTCACCCACGCATTGCACTGCGTGCTATTCTCTTGTCAAATAGACTTGGAAACGTGGACCTTGGATTGTGTCCTCCAGCATTTCTGTGACTCTAATGTTGATGACTGTTGGCTCCGTCTGTCCGCAGACAGTCAGTGGTGAACCGAGTGTTTGACAAGCTGTCCCCGCTGCACGAGAGAATCTACTGCGCCCTCTCTGGCTCGGCTGCTGATGCCCAGGCCGTGGTGGACATGGCTGCCTACCAGCTGGAGCTGCATGGGTATGAGCCGGGTCCGACCCCTGCCCACTCCGGCTCCCCCGCTGCAAAGCCCCGCGCTGTCCTCTCCGTGCCCTCTTCACGTCCTGTTCAAGGGCCGCTGCTCTGGCTGCTGCTTTTGTTAGCTTTGAACTAGCACTTGAATCTCAGTAAGCAGCGTCTGACTGTGCAAAGCGAGACAATAGTACCTACCCTACCTCACCAGCGGGCTGTTTGGAAGGTCCAATGAGGTATGTGAAAGCCGCTCAGAAACTGTCAGTCAGAGCCCTCGTGTAAAAAATCAGGGAGAAGGCGATGAGGTGGCCACCCTAGTATCAGGCTGTTACTAGATGCAAAACTACGGTCACTTATCTGCCTCGCCCATGTGGGCAGGGCCCTGGCAGCCAGAGAAGGTTGTATCTTGGGAGGTGGGTGTGTGGGAAAGAGGGTGAGAGGGTGAAAAACTGAAAGCTTCTTACCTGTTGCCCTGTCCATGTGGGAGAGGAGCCAGAACTATTGCAGCTGGGGTTCAGGGATCACCCTACTAACGTTTCCTCCAGGTTGGAACTGGAGACGCCACCCCTTGTTCTGGCTGCTGCGAACGTGGTGAAGAACATTACCTACAAATACCGGGAGGAGTTGTCGGCGCATCTCATTACAGCTGGCTGGGACCAAGGAGAAGGGGGCCAGGTGAGGGCGGCCCTCCTTGGGGTTTCCCACCCCCCTCTGCAAGGGGTAGAGGCCCTGTGTCATTCTATCAATGAGTTCCTCTAAGACTACCCTACAATCTCAATTGTTAGATGAGATCCTGGGGCCTCACTGCCAGGTGCAGTTGCCACCAGCTCGACTCAGGGCAAGAGCGGTTTGACGGTTGTCTAGACTGACTGGAAAGTGCCTCCCGCAGGTCTACGGAACGCTGGGAGGGATGCTGACCCGACAGCCCCTCATCATCGGCGGCTCCGGCAGCACGTACATCTACGGCTACGTGGACGCGGCGTACAAACCAGGCATGTCCCCTGAGGAGTGCAGGCGCTTCACCACGGACGGTAACTAAGGCGAGCAGTTTCTGAGGAGGGCTTCGCACGTGGGAAGGAAACGAGGAACAGGGAGAGGGCTTCGTGGATGGCCAGTCCATTTAATGTCAAACTGGGACACTTTTGAGAGCGAAAGGGGACAGGACAAATGCCAGATAGAAGGGACTTTGGGACAACGGGGATCCATCTGGGCCGAGTAAACCCAGTAGGCAACATGGTCACATAGGAGCTATGGTGCGCTGGAATCAGTCCATGAGAGATGACTGTTAAACACCCAAGGGTGTGGAGCTGCTTACTCGACCGCTGGTAACTTGAAATCGATCGTGGCAGAATTTGCACCGCGACATGAGCAGAGGCTACGTACGAAGGCTTTTGCTTTTTGAGCACACCCCTGAATATACCTCCCTGGAAGGTGGCTTTTCAGGTGAAAGTGGTGGTAGGCGTGAGGACAGGAGGGGAAGGAAACGAGTTTGGAAGCTAAGCCGTGTTCTCTCCAACTGCGACCCTCTGCAGCTATCGCTCTGGCCATGAGCCGGGACGGCTCCAGTGGGGGTATCGTCTACCTGGTCACGATCACGGCTGCTGGTGTGGACCATCGAATCGTCCTGGGGAACGAGCTGCCAAAATTCTATGACGAGTGACTGTGCCTCGCACTTCCTTCTTGTTTGTAATAAACGGCTGGGACAAGAAGCTGGTGTGGTTGATGGGAGAGGGCGTCAGGGAGGTAAAGCTCAGCAGAGGGGAATTCTGCCCTCCTGGGTGTCACCAGGCCCTTTGACTCTCTTGCCCCAGGCCTACAATGTCTTTCCCAGAGAAAGAGAAGGGAGCACCGGGATTAGAAGGAGACCTATGCATGACAGGTCGCAGTGTACTGAGTGACTTCGAAATGCTACGAGGAATAAAAATTCTCCTAGGGCTTCTGTGTGGCTTAGCGTGAGAGTCCGTGGTTTGCACACACAAGGCCCTAGATTCAATCCCTAGCAGTGAAAAATCAAACAAAAGAACTCACCCTGAAGCTCCAAGGATGAGGGTGCAGAAAAGCAGCCCTCCTCGTGTGCCCGTTGACAGGAAGTTGTCCGGGTGCCTGAGTAACTGTGTTAAACGGCGGGTCCTGGTCTTAGCTTTGCCACACACTTCCTGCGAGCCCTCGACTTCTCCGTCACAGTGTTTTCTTAGGTGGTTTACAGCTCCAGCAGTCAGTGCTGTTTGCTAATAAGCGAACTCTCAGCAAGTGAACTCTTGCAAATAATAAGTGAGCTATTTGACGGAAATACAACAAGTAGGGTCTCAGGCCAGACCCACCAAGTCAAAAAGTACTCCAGGACAACCACACGCCCTTGGGCGTCTACCTGGTCACAGCTAGAAACTCAAGTACTCAGAGGCCTCGGAAGTGAGCAAGAGCAGCAGGTGGTCAGACTGAGAGCCGCAGGTCCCCAGCTGTCGCCTCCCACGGCTGTGTCCCCAAGTCCATCCCAAGGTGCACGGCTGCTCTCCGACCTGGCACAGGCGCTAAATCTGCAAAGCCAACACTCGGAGGAGAGGAACTGAGCAAAATGCATGTCAGGGACAGGAGAGCGCAGGGCAGTCTCCACAGTGAGGCCCGGGGAGGGGACTCCCTGACTCTAGGAGCACCCGTCACCCTGGAGCTCCTGCCTGTGACCCGCCTGCGAGATGCACCCTAAGCAGCCCACCAAAGGCTTGGAGAACTGAGTCCAGATTTAACGCTATTCAAAGCGATTAAAATCCGAAAGCATTCAATTTTTAAATAGGCCAATTTGTTCCCTATTCCATTGCTATTTTATCTTTATAATTTCTTTCATTAGTTTTCTCAGTTACCCTTTCTTCCCCCAATTTTTAGGGATAATTTTTAAGTCAATTATTTTTGAAGTATTTGAAATGCATTTGGAGCCATAGAATTCCTTCCAAGTACTGCTTTACCTGTCCCCACGAAATTTAATATGTAGCAGTTTTACCACTGTATCCCTACGCCCTCCATTCCAAAAAAGGATTTAGAGCCATTTCCAGAGGCAGACACAGTTTAGAGAGAAGGAAGAAAGTGAGGCAAAGGGAAGATCGGGTTAAGGAAATACGCGAAGCCAGAGGCAAAACTAACACACAACGTGACCGTCTTCAAAGAAGCGACTGGGTGTGGGCTTATGACATCGGACCGGAAATAGGGACTGTGCAAGGCCGACCAGCCATCCTCGGTGCTGACCAAAGTATTCGTTCTGCAGGAGTCCGCAAGGCTACAATCAGAACTTCTTGTTTTTTCCCCAGACAGGCAGGCAGCTAACAGGACGCATACGTGTCAGCCAGGTACCAGTGGGGAAAAGCAGTTAACTGAGCCACAAGAAGTGAAAGTAAAGAGGGAAATAAAACAAGGTACAAAAACAAATCCAAAAACACAGCCCCCAAAACACACACACACACATTATATATATGTATATATATAAAATGGATTTTTTTTAGACAGTCTTGCCATGTCACTCACAGTGATCCTCCTGCCTCAGTCTCCCAAGTGCTAGGATCACAGGCATGTGCCACCACGCCCAGCATATAATGGATTTTTAAATCACACAGTACATTTACTGAATAACTTTATTTATTCCATAAAGGAAACTACAGCAAATAGAAAACTAGTAAATGTCAAAGTATCTGTATTTTGGAAACTACAGAGTCTGCCCCCCAAAATGTTTGCACACTTCAGGAAGAGAAAAATGTACAAATATTTGAATACTAAATTTATTGAGAGATCATGAGATTTATACAAGTTACCTCTGGCCTCCACAAATACAAGAGGTGCTCAAAGGGGTGGCCATGAACTTCCAGACGTTTATCGGTACAGCGAGCTGCTGCTTCCGAAACCTTGGTCACTGAGATCGCTGCATGTGCATTTTCCATTTCTTTTCCAAGCGCTGGCAGCGTAGTGGGTTTTCTGTGATTCAGGACGTCCTTTAGGGCCCCCTATATGACAGTAACACCATCTGTTGAAAAAAAATCATATTTTCTTTTCCTGAAGTGTGTGTACACTTTTTGGCAGACTCTGTATTTATGTTCCAAACTACACCATAATAAAATTAGAACTTGGTAACAAAAAGAAATCTAGCCGGGCGTGGTGGCACACGCCTGTAATCCCAGCACTTGGGAGACTGAGGCAGGAGGATCACTGTGAGTTGGAGACCAGCCTGGGCTACATAGTGAGTTCCAGGTCAGTCTCAACTAACCCTAACCGAGTACTGACACGAAGGGGGCCAGGCCTACAGTCTGCTGGTAAAGACTGTAAAATTGCAGAAGCACTGTTTGCACAACACCACAGGGCCTCTGACGGGAGGCCACTGCTCAGACAGACCTGGTCCCTGAGATTCGAAATGGAAGCACAGGAGCAGACACAGAGAAGCTTGAAATCATGAACCACCAATGTCCTCACTGGCAGGAGACCCTGGGTATTAATTACCTGTTGCTATGTGATGAATGATGCCGAAACTCAGCAGGTCACCATAGCATACATTTACTGTTTGGCATTATTGGGACAAGTGGGGAAGTTTTATGGACTAATGTTTGATAAGATGGCATCAGTTTTAACTATCCAGGAAATGCTGGTGGCATGGTGATCACACGGGAGAAATGTCCTTGGTCTTGGTGAAGTGTCACCCTGTCCACAGAGCACTCTTAAATGGTTCCACAGAATAGTTCCACACAAAAGTAAGTGGATAAATAAAACATGATGTATCCGTACAACAGAATACATATAACCAATGAAAATTGAGCCATGGATTTAGCTCAGTGGTTCTGCCACCTGCCTAGCAAGCGCAAGTTCCCGAGTTCGATCCCCAGTACCAAAAAAGAAAAGAAAGAAAGAAAATTAATGAACCACTGATAATGCAATAACAAAGGGAGGCTAATAGAAAAAATATTGAATGAAGAGTCCCCCTCCACATGCATACAACTATGTATAATATACATTTCAGTTACCTATAGCTGTCAGCAAACCACTCCCAAACATAGTGACTTACAACAAAAGCATCCATTTCATTAACTCCTGTGAATCTGAGTAAGCCGGGCTCTGGGAACCCTCAAAGCCTTCAGTCACAGCGGCCACTCTGACACCGTCCAGTGTGTGGACACTGGTTATGTTTTGTGGGTGTCGATAGATTTGGGTACCTTTAGGGTACCGTGAAATTTCCCCTGCCTCCCTAGAGTGGGAATCACAAATCTCACTTCCCCTGAAGTTAGGGCAAAATACAGGAACTGAGCTCCGTCAGGCGGATTCACCCACCGAGGCCGCAGCTCAGAAGTGAACAACGGGAGGAAACGGGGTCCAAGCTGTGTTCGTTTTGCTGGCAAAGATCAGCAGAAACAAGAATCAGCGACTGGCTTTGGGGAAGCAGAGGTAAAAAAGTGAGGTTCTGGGAACAGAAGTGGCTGGGCAGGTGTCTGTGTGGGAAAGTCCAGTTCCAGGAGAAGAGCAGAACATGGGGAATGTCAGGGACAGCAGGGACGGCTGCCTCAGACCTCCGCCTGCCCGGGATTCACTTCGCCAGAGGTTCCAGTGTTTCTACTCCAACAGCCTAATTCGGAGAAAATTTATTCGTTAGACTCTTCGACGCTCTGTCGGACTCCAGAGTGAAGGAAGGAAGCAGAGATAACACAAGAGACCCAATTTATAAAATGAAGACAAAAGTGAGTCACTGAAAGTGGTTAATGTGTGATAGGGCAATAAAATCATAGCCTTGGCGTTATCTTCATTACCAGAGCAAAGCACAGCCCACCACTCCTTATTGGATTTCTGCCAACTAACCTCTAACTGTAGAGGGCACGGGGCTGCCGGAAAGGGGTTCTTTTTCAATCCCTCAACGCTCACATGCTGAACATGCAGGATCGAGAGAGATTTTCTGAGATGATATTAAATAATCAAGCAGGCACGAATTCGCCGTCTCTCTAATTTGGACTATTTTTTCCACACAAGCCAGTCCTTAAAGTACAGAGTTGAGCAAGTAACAGTTTCCAGAAATGTTCTAATCCAGTTTTAGTCATTGGATAGTCTCTTGTACTGGGCCTTTTTTAGGATTTAAATGTAGACTTCTTGGTTGCACAGTTAAGAAAGCCAAGGTCCTCTGATAGTAAGGTTAGATGGTCCACATCTATCTAGAAGTTCGCCTGTAGAGCCATAATTTCTATCGTAACCAATATTTTTTCTTCTTGGATGCTGAGGATCAAATCTAGGCCCTCATGCATGCTAAGCACAATTTCTGCCCACTGAGCTCCACCCCAGCTCACCAGGAACCTGAGCCACTCATCAGCTTAATGATTCTGAAAACACTCTTCTGACTTTCTGAACGTTGCCTACAATCTTCTTATGGAGGGATCGCTATTTTCACTGAGACGCCCAGCCCACCGAGAACGTGGGCTTGTTGGAAGTAACGTCTTTTCCTGTTGTCAGGTGGGGGCCCAGTGTCCTGCACTGACTGGCTCAGCCTCGTTTCCACACATGAACTACAGTTGTCCTTAAAAATTTAAGGCCTCAGTAAATGAGTTTTTCTGTTAAACGTGGTATTTCTGTGTTTGTAGAAGGTGTGTCAGCACAAGACTGGGA